TAGAAGAAAGGCAAAGACAAAAGGCTGCAGAATATAAATCTAATAAAGAATTCAATGCTGCTTATTTTAAATTACCAATTATTGATGGTAAACCTCATTTAAATGATGCAGGACATTCAGCAATAAAACAAGAACATCAATTCATATTTTAAATTAATTTTATATATAGTACAATTACATACATTATTATATTATTATATTAATATTATATTACCTAATTATTATAGATTATCATATTATTATTTGTATTTATTTGTATTTTAAAAATATTTAGAGGTGGGGTAAATTAAATTAAAATCAAAATTAATCCAACAAATAGTAGTACTAATAATGAGACATATCTTGATGTATACCAATTGATAATAAATGTGTAGATGGAACTAATGGGTATTGTTTGAAATTAATTGTGGTATATTTGATTGATTATAATGTATATAGTGAGATTTTCCATAGCAACCGATTGAAGGTCTATGATAGCAAACTTCAAACATAAATCTCGTGATATTAACAAAAAGATTTGTTCCAAGATTAGTTTTTCTTTGATTGGATGCTGCCAAATTTCCATCAAGATAAAACCAAGCAGGTGGCATAATGATCAAGTTTATTATAAATAAATAATCAATGAGGAAACATATTGAATAAAATTCAAGAGGAAGACACCCCAGAAAAAGCCAATGCTTCTTTCACCAAGAGGTTATACCCAGTGGATAATGTTTGGTTAAATTTTTCCAACATTTAACATTTTTTCAAATAAATTTTTATTTAATCAATCAGATATTTAAAAATTATTATTAGAAAATTAAATATAGGCATGTACTAAAAATTATTAATAAACTCGAAATAAAATTAAATTTTATATGATTTCCGTCATTAAATGGCAGATCTTGATTTGTTGTCGCAGGTAAAAATACAGTCGTTGTTTCAGGTGGTGGTGTTGTGGTCACAGTTTTTGGTACCCTATATAATAATAAATTAAATAATTAAATAATTTATAAATAATTAACTTAATAAAAATAACTTATTCTTTTAATTGCCTAGTATGAGGAGGTGGGGTTGTTGTCGATGTTATCTCCGGGGTTATCTCCGGGGTTGTTGCGGTAGTTGAAGAAGTTGCATTTATCGAAACGGATAGAGAAGTAGCGTTAGGCATTATAATAGTAGGAAAGATTTCAACAAAAGGAACAGTAATAGAACGAGGAAAATGTTTTTTTGGAATGATAGAAATAGGTACAGTCATTGTCACTACTGTATCACGTCTATTAAGTTTATCATATTTTTCATCACGCTGGTAATTAGAATTGATCGGAATTGCTTCTTTGCGTTTAAAAAAATATTTACTTTTAATGGCCTTTCCTCTTTTTCTTGTTATTATTTTGTTGAAATCATTTTTTTCATATTGAATAGCATTTATTACATTTATTATCGCTATCAAAAAAATAATCAAAATCGTTAAAATCTTCATGATTACCAATTTTATTTTAGAGAATTAAGAATTACTATATTTTTTTGCGATTAATTTATATAATTTATTCCATCATATAAGACATATATTTCATATGATATTAAAAATTTTAAGAAATCTTATGATTTTTTTACCAATTCGAAAATTATTTCATAATATTAATATATAACGACACATCATTCATTATTACTGTGCCGATAAATTAATGTTTTACAAGATCGGATGATCTGCACCGCATGACACTGGGGTATTCGATATAAGTTGATTAACAAATCTAATTAATATTAATGTCATAAATGTAAATACATATATACGGTTTTTTTTAGCATAGATAAAAATCCTATCATTGACTGTTATGGCATTACAAAAATCAAGTGAGATTGACCAACGAAAATTGAAATTAAAAATCACATGTGTTTCCAAAAAAATTAACATTTACTCGAGAAAAATGTATAATAGTTCAATTTTATTTATTATTCAATATTCTCTCTTCTTATTTTAAACTGGGGACTGGTAAAAAGAATTCTCATACAAAAACCATTTTCTGCAAAAAAAATTAAATAATCTTTTGTCTATTAATTGTTAATCAGTAAAAAAACTAAAATAACATAAAATAACATAGAGAATAGTTAAAACTTTGGTTATTCTATAACTCAATGGAAATATAATGTCATAATATGCTGAATTGGCAAGTGTTTATTTCACATGAAATTTTGGATTCCGTTCAAAGAAAATTAAAATGTAGATCATTGATAAATTTGGATGTTATGAATGTAATAAAGCGAAATTTAGAGCAAACGGCATTACTAATAAAAGTCAAAACTCAGCGTGGATCAGGAAAAGTTATTAATGGATCAGAAATAAACAATAGTAATATAACATTTGTGCAAAGTTTGAGGTGGTGTTATTTAATATGGGGCGCGCCACTTTTCTAAGTGACACTTTTTCGATTTTACAATACTCTTCACATATAAATTGTCGATCGTCTCTATTAAATGCGTGTGACCAATCTATCCAATGATAGGATTTTTATCTATGCTGGTGAATTGGGTGTATCATGTATATAAAGGTGAGCCTGTATGATTTTCTTTGTAATGATTTATATTTCGAGGAAGGAATGATGCATTAAAAAAAAAATTTAAAAGATTTGCTATTTCACGAAAGAAAATGATAAGAAAAGAAAGAAAATAATCAAAAGAATTAGAAGAAACTGGAGAAAAATCATTGAACAAATATTAGAAGAACAAGAAGCTGATATCGAAAAGAGACCGAGAAGAAATCACTAGGACAAAAATGGACCAATAAATGGGGAAGAAAAAATAGATTTGAAAATGTATTATATTTATTATAGACCATCAAGAAGAAAACCCGAACTCAACGGAATTCGGTTGATAATTTCGAACGAACTAGTACAAATAGAAAAATCATTGCCAAAGAAGTCACAAGAAAAAGAAGAGAATTACTAAACAAAGGAAAGGATCATCAACCTTGGAATAATAACTTAGCCCAAGATTCCAGATCTATGAGATAAGATAATGAAGGCTATCAAGGACTAGGAATGAAGTGTCGGGGGGAATCTGGTAACGAGTTCAAAATCATTGAACAAATATTAGAAGAACAAGAAGCTGATATCGAAAAGAGACCGAGAAGAAATCACTAGGACAAAAATGGACCAATAAATGGGGAAGAAAAAATAGATTTGAAAATGTATTATATTTATTATAGACCATCAAGAAGAAAACCCGAACTCAACGGAATTCGGTTGATAATTTCGAACGAACTAGTACAAATAGAAAAATCATTGCCAAAGAAGTCACAAGAAAAAGAAGAGAATTACTAAACAAAGGAAAGGATCATCAACCTTGGAATAATAACTTAGCCCAAGATTCCAGATCTATGAGATAAGATAATGAAGGCTATCAAGGACTAGGAATGAAGTGTCGGGGGGAATCTGGTAACGAGTTCATGCGAAATTATCACTAAAATCAATCCAGTAAGAGTACATAAAACCCCAAGAGGTTGTCACGATACTCAGAATGATTAATAAGATATTAATAATATTTAAAGAAGGATTAATAATCCAAGAAAATTTTATGAATGTCATATAATCATTATCGTAACTCTTTTCTTTAAAATTTCAATTGGAAATTATTATACATTAATTGTTGCTAACAATATTAAGTAATTAATTAACAAACATTAGTAAAAGAAAATATGCGATGAATGACTAATGCTTCATTCTTTATGAAGTTCTAGATTTGATAAAATAAAAACCAAAAATTTTTTTGAAATAATTTTTTATTCTGTAAAAATTAGTAATAGTTGTTGACATAATTAATAGTGAAAGCCCATTCGAAATTAGTTTAATATTAATTGCCGATTCGCAAATGAATGAGAGGAAACCCCAAAATCTGCGCGTCCTACATAGAAAAATCTTTATTCATGCCACAAAAAAAAAAATAATACAATTTTTTGTATAAAGGTTGACAATTAGCAATTTTTGTGACGTTTTGCCAAAATTTATTATAAAATGCAATCTTTCTCTCATTCATTTCACGTATCACCAAATCAAAAAACCTAAGCTGCAAAATAATGATAATTTATTGATTCGTGTTATAACGAATCTTTAAACATTTTGCCTCCACATAAAAACATATAAAATTAGTTGAAACGTGTCCCCATAGATTCGTTGAAACGAGGTTTGACTGTATACGGGTTTGCTTAAAAAGTAATCAACCTTTGAACGTTTTGGGATAGTGCTTATGATCATAAGGATAATAAATAATAAGGATAATAAGAAAAAGAAATTAACAATAAGTACAACGGAATTAAATTGGTGAGAATGATCATAATGTTGTTTCACAAAGTGAAAGCGTAGTATAGAATACTCAATATTCAATATTCAATGATGATTAATGATTGATAAATGCTGAATGCTGAGTAGCTGAGAACTCGTTTTTTCATAATGTAATTTTTTGGAAGTGTGAGGTTAAAATTTCAAGGTGTTTGTTATTGAAAATGCTTTTTGAATGTTTGGGATTTTGAATTCATGAAAATGATCATTGCCTTTTAAAAATGGTTCGAATCCAACCGGGAACCACATCAATGCCGTCAATGCTGCGATCAGATGATCTGTATTTTGTTAATTATTATTATCCTCAAAAATCCGGTTTTCTGATTTCATTCTTAAAAATCCGGTTGAAAATTCTCATAATACTATTTTAATTCTTTTTTTTCTTTCACTCACATGCTTTTTATTTAATTTCTTTGCTGATGCTAACGCTGATCTATTTGTTGTCCAAATGAAGCCTTAATTAGTTACCATTTTTTATTAATAATAATGAAACTAACGATATTAATATTAATTATATGTAAATATGTATTTATTGACTCGCTCTAACATATGTTCACATTACAGATCGTCCATCTTTTTTTTCTATAACCAGTTTAAGGTGAATTGGGTGTATCATGTATATAAAGGTTGAGGTGAGCCTGTATGTTTTTCTTCGTAATGATTTAAGGCTTGTTTGGTTTTACTACCTAAATGATAGCCCATTTGTGCAGTATATGATGAATTAAAAAAAAAATTTAAAAGGTTTTTGATCTAAGAAAGAAAGAAAATAACCAAAAAAATTGGAAGAAACGTTATTGAACAAATTAGAACAAGAAGAAAGTGACAAAGCGGAGACACCACTTAGAATCACTAGGACCAATAAACGGGGATGAAAAAATATATTTGAAAATGTATTATTTTTATTATAGACCATCAAGAACTCTACAGAATTCGGGAGAAACAATGATAATTTCGGATCAATAAACTAGCACAAGTAGAAAATCATTACCAAAGAAAGTGATTGATAAAACAGAAAGAGTAATTTCGTGATAATAAATCCGCATTTACTCAGAATGATTATTAAGATATTAATAATCATTAATAAGTCAAAAATTTTATGAAATTCGCGATTCACAGCAGATTTGATAAAATTTTTGATATATAAACTTCTATGAAGTTTATCAAATCTAGTGTTAGCACTGTATGTAGCAGTAGATTTGATAAAAAATTCTATGAATTTCATCAAATCTAGTTGTAGCAGCAGATTTGATATAATTTCTATGAAATTCTACAATTACCAGTAGGTTTGTGATAAAAATAAATTAAACATTTCTATTTTTTAGACATTGATCTTTCTTATGTATAAATTTTTTTATTAGTAAAAACTTATGTTCTTAATAATAAGTATTTTTTTTAGAAAATTTCACAAAAATAAAAAGAAAATTTTGCTCCTTATAGAAAAAACGACCTCATTAAAATTTGTACCAGTTTATTTCTCAAAACTTGAAGTTTAAACAAAAGTTAAGGACAATTTTGTCCGCAATGGATGATATTAATATTAATATGATTTGGCCACCATTTTGTCTGCAGATGGTACAGTATATTGGCCATTGACGATTACAGATAATATTAACATCAATAAAATAATTGAACAAAATAATTATCCACAACATCAATATTAATGTGTTATTTAACTGATTTCAAGAGCAATAGTCCTTTCCGATCTGTCCGGCGTTTAGCAGTTTTGTTTGATCCCTAAATTTTTTTGCAGCATGCCCCATTTAATTTAAATATTAATATTATGTTAATATTTCGAACATTCCACGATACTGCACGGATAAACACACGATATAGGAAAAAGGCTTTAAATATTTTGATGGATTTATGTTTAAGAAATTGATCGGAATTTCAAAATTTTCTTTTGAAGCTTTTTAATCTCGGTATTGTAAAAAGTTTAAAGGGTTTTTCCAATGTATCAAGAATATTTTTATAATGAATGATATTTGTCTATTACTATTGTCAGATCACCAGCTTAAGATCGGCCGTGAATCATTTTTTCGTTCTTGATAAATTCAATAAGCAATTCTTTAATTTTCTCCTTGATATTTTTTTAAAATACTTTTGATAGTG